AGCTTATGATACAGTGTAATATTTATGACTAGGATGAATCATAAAGTGATAAAACTTTTATGAGCATTGGGTTGAATACACAACCTTAGTACACAAGAGTATTTTGGTTTTAAAATGGTTGATTCATCTACTATCTTTTCCTTCAAGGAACTGTTTAAAAGCTTACTAATCTTGTTAGTTTGTTCAGATGAATCTTTTGTGTTTGTCTGTAGTGTAGTGTTTTTTTACCCGGTAATTTTCAAACTTTTGTTCTTGTAAGCCAACAACACCAGAACCTTTGTCAGGTTCTAATAGGACTATTCTATTAGTTCCTTTCAGATTATCATACATGGCTTTTCTGTTTTTTAGATAAAGAATAGACAGAGGCTGTTGGTGTTGTAGTGTAACGGCTTGCAAAGTTCACAAGTCTGGCTTCGATTCGAACTTCGTTGTGATTTGGAGTATGACATAGATCCCGCAGCCAATTGTGAAAACTTTGCTTCATACTGAAATAATTACTAAAATAAATGAAGATTTTAATTTGTCCTTTTACACATATTAGCAAATGCAGCTTCCGTAATTTTCGGATATTTACTAAACACAAGTAGGATACTTTATAAGAATTTTACGGTTATTATTTAAATTTTTTGCAAGAAGTTATGCAGCGAAATTTTATCCTATTCTCGGGCTTAGGGTGATGCAAGCTTACACTGTATAGAAAAATTTTTTCAAGAAACAATTGATAGTCTAGAAATTTTCTTAATATAGATACACTACTTTATAGTAGTATGATTTATTCAGCAAAAGTTTAGGTGACATGGCGGAAGTAGTTCATTTACAAACAAGTTGATTTTCTTAGGCCGGATAAATAACTATATTAGGATACAGGACTAGGTTTCCTAAATGTGAGTTTTTTGAATGTCTTTCAAGTATGCATAACTCTGAAGTATGCATAATTCACAGTACTATGGATCCAATTATGATCGAACAAAGAATTTCAAAGACTATTAAAAGTTCGTGATGGTTGGTTATTAGATACCTGTTACATACTTATGATAAGATACATTGAAGACATGTGGTAAACACTAATGTATTTTCAATGCACAAGATGATGGTATTTCAGATGCTCCAACCATCAGTAGTATTTAGTATCTATAAACATTTAATGTTCTACTGTTTGCAAAGATCTGGTAGTAACTGCGTAAGGAAAACATCAGTGCAACATATTGGTCTCGCATTGGTAAGTATATGAACAGTTTAATATGCTATATCACTGACTACATTTTCAACATACATCCTTCTTGTTTATATTTCGGTGCTTTTCAACCTTTGTTGGTGTAAGTGTCTATCGATTTCTTGATAGTTACTTGTTGTGAAAATATTGTTACACGTAGATATAACGTACGTACAAAGAATTTAATAATATGATGCAAATGTTTAATTATCCGTAAACTGGTCTCAACATTTTCAATTCTCACCTCTTTATTACACCTTTTTGAAACTACTGTTTATATTTGTATTGTATAATTGTTAACTAGACATTTATGACAGTGTAATCACTTTATTGTAAGCTCCTAGTGGAATTAATAACTATTGTTATGTGTTTAACTATTCCTCAATTACTAACTGTTTGTTCAGATCATAGCGACTTATGGGTTGATCTCTTATTCGGGGTGAGTTGTGGTTTGATAATTCACGTACATAAACTGAGTATTTAAGATGAAAATCGAAGGTATATAGTAATGAAGGCTTTCCAGACACTATTCTTTGAGTCAGACTCGAAGCTGTGAGGGAAGACGGAGTTTATGTTGGCGGACCAATGCGAGTCAATAGTACCCTGTGAGATCTCAGGGTTAATTGTGTCTTGTTGACTAAGTCAAGTCATCGATAGACGGGTTCGAGAATAAGCCAGGATTCAAATTGGAGCATTTCTTACAAGCTATCAATTAAGGAAGTGTAGGCTAGCAAGTGTTATAAAAAAATGGAATGAACATATAATGGTTATGAAATTTGATTTTTACTCATTGGATAATAAGTTTAGATATCAGTTTTAATGATCGGATAGTGTAGCCAATACGATATGCACGAATTAGGGCTTGTACTGAATGACCAACATTAGGTCAATCCCATTGAGAAGGATATTATAGTTGAAACACTAATTCTCTAGAATGAGTGGATTATGGTTAGTAGTGAATTCCAGAGTGCACGCTTCATTTTATTTGAAACTGGTCAACTGGATATTGAACCAGGCGTTTTTCTTATCATACACCAACGCGGTTATCCACTTAGATGCTCAGCCCAGAAAAATTTTAATAGCGTTTTCTAGGAATAGTCCTGGTATAGCCAATATGTTGAAAGTTTTTTGAATAAATGAACTATTTATTGTCATGATTTTATATTTAAATCCATTGTTATATAATCCAAGACAGTTGTTAAATCAGTCAAATCCAGTTGAAGCCCCTCAAGTGTTACCAACGGTCCCAAGCCTGTAAAAAGGAGGAGGGTTGGGCATGGGTTTAGCGACCCCATACCATAGAAAACTAAGTCGCTAAAAAACGCTAATCAGAACAAATAATTCAAACCATACAAGCTGCCCTGCGAGTTGTAGGGTCTTTACGTAGAAGTGTTATGACGTCTCCTGATAAAAGCTAAGTTCCTCAGAAAGTCACGGGGCCGATGCTTCTTCTCACAACCACAGCAACAATTAGTATAGGTACATGGAATATCCGTACATTGTGGGAGAACGGAAGAACCATTCAAGTTGCAGAGGAAATGAAAAGATATAACTTGTTGGTACTTGGAATAACTGTAACACAATCGACTCATGTTGGACAACTAAGACTAGCTTCAGGAGAGGGGCTGATCGGCCGTGAAGAAGGAGCCTCACACACACAAGGAGTTGCATCGAGGGTGTCCAAACAGCACAAAAAGCATAAGTAGGATGGGAATCGCATAGAACCAGGATCATCAAAACACCCTTCAAAACAAAGAAAGAGGTTACAATGAATGTGATCCGGTGCTGAGGACCTACCAACGATAACAATTAGGATTTTAAGCTCCAATTGTATGAGACGGCAGTCAATCATTGAAAAGTGCACACCAAAGGACTTGACTATTCTGATAGGAGACCGAAATGTCAAGGTTGGCATGGACAACACTGGATATGAAGACATCATGGGACGACATGAACTGGGAGAAAGGAACGAAAATGGTGAGAGGTTTGCAAACCTATACGCCTTCAACAAACTGGTCATCGGCAGCACCATATTCCCACACAAATGCATACACAAAGCTACATGCATTTAACCGGACCACACTACTCAGAACCGAATCGACCATATCTGCATCAATAAAAAGTTCAGAAGGACGATGGAGGACGTGAGAACCAAGAGAGGAGTTGACATGGCCTGAGATCACCACTTGCTGGTCGCCAAAATGAAATAAACTCAAGAAGCACTGGACAACATCACAAAAGTTTAATAGGGCCCTTCTCCGGGATGCCGTAGAACTAAACGAATTCAAGATAGCCCTCAGCAACAGGTCCCAGGCTTTTCACAATCTACAACATGGAAAGGAAACTACTATGGAGAACAATTGGAAAGGAATCAATGAGGCAAGCACTTCAACATGTCAGGAGGTTATGGGCCACAAAGAAGTACAACCGTAAGGAATGGATCTCAATAGATACTATGAATAAGATTTAAGAAAGTAAGAACAAGAAGGTAGCAATCAATATCAGTCGAACAAGAGCAGAGAAAGCAAACGCAAACAAGCAAGTGAAGAGGAGTATTAGAGATGACAAACGTAATTACATGGTAGATCTCGTAATGAAAATAGAAAAGACTACAAGATAAGGAGATACGATACAATGAAGCTTGCTGGAAATTATCGTAAATCAGAACGACCAGTCACATACAAATGAGGAAGCAAAGCAATTACAGACACTAAAGAACAGCGAAACAGATGAGTAGAGCACTTCAAAGAACTCGTGAATCGACCAGCTCCATTGAACCCATCCAACATCGAAGCAGGACCTACGGACCTCCCAACTGATGTTGACCCACCAACAATTGAACAGATGAGGGTAGTCATCGCACAAGTCAAGAGGGTAAAAGCAGCAAGGCCAGACAACATTTCAGAAGAGGCACAGAAAGCTGCAACTGTTTCTATTCAATGGAGCGGAAACTTGGAGAACAACAGAAGCTATCACTCAAAGATGTGCTGGTTAACAGTTGTTTACGCAAAATGCTTCACATCCGTTAACCAGGCATCATCAGCAACAACCTGCTATAGGACAGAACAAACCAGATTCCAGCTCAGGAGGAAGTGCTGAGAGTGGATAGGAGACACGTTACGGAAATCACCCAAGTGCATCACAAGACAAGCCCTCACCTGGAATCCTCAAAGCCAAAGAACACATTACGCTGAGTACTGGGGATAAACATAATGAACAACGGTTGGATAGAACTGGAAAATAAGGCACAGGACAGAGTAGGTTGGAGAATGCTGGCCAGTATCAAACTAAGTAAGTATCAAATAAGTCAGCTGGTTACAATCTCGCTTACAAACTACGGATTTATTATTTTTCTCAATTGCAATTTTAATTAATATTCACTGAATGAACTGAAATATAAATGAATCTTCTACCAGAATAATTGAAGATCAGAGATGATTTTTATGAAACATTAAGCTATTGGTTGATAACGCAGTGTAACAGAGACAAAGAACAATCGAATTGCATCAAACAATTTTATTGAAAGAAGACAAATAATTAGTTTTATATCTACACATAGATTAATGTTATATATATATATAATCTATGTATTATAACTGAACAAGAAAAATACAAATCACATGAACTGATTCTTGTAAAAATAAAGGAAACTGTAGAATAGTGATAATAATAATAATACAATACAATACAATACAAAATATGAATAGTGAAATAGTATGAACAAATGGAGTCGAACATGTACACTGAAACGAAACGGAAACAAAACACACCCGGCTATTTTAGTATATATATATATATATATATATATATACCATCAAAATACAGAATAGACAATTTGAGAAAAGGAAGAGAAATGAAATAACAACTAGGTAAATCATATGAGAAGAACAGAACTATTACACAACTGTTATATACAAAATATCGAAGAAAATAGTGGAAAAGAAAAACTCAACTAGTTTTTTATTTTTGTTTCTTCATTAAAATTAATTTCAAAATTTCAAACAATTTGTGCGTATATTTTTTTATTTAAATTATATAGTAATTATCGTAATGGATGCTGTTGTTGTTGTTGTTGTTGTACTGAATTCAATTGTGTTGCACGTAAAGGAATCATAGAGGCCAAATCGAATAAACCATACGGTGGGAGAAGATTTAAATCACCAATTAATTTACGAACAATATTTCGACCAAGTCCTATATCAATTAACCATTGAGTGAATGTGTTGATTGGTGTACTGTTATTACTGTTATTTAATATGACATCAGCTGGAGGAACAGACAATGTAGGCGTTGTTACTGCTGCTGCTGCTGATGATGATGTTGAATAACATTGTGGTGTAAGTATTGGTAAGCCTAATTCAATTAGCCAAACAAAATGTTGAGCATTTTTTAACAGAATATTCGAATCAACAATAGATTGAGAAGGTGTTAAATGAATAATACCACCAATGGAATTGTGATTACGTAACCAGTTAGGCAATAGATTTGTATTTGATGGTGATGATGTATTGTTTTTGTTTACAGTAACAATATCATCTGGATGACCGATTATGACTAGGTCAATGCGTATACTACTTGGCAGTTTGGTAACAGCTGTGAGAAGATTCAAAAAGTAAGAAGAGGAGAGATATTAAAGTGAAAAGATCAGTTAAATTCTACAGATAACAATATAATGCCTAACAAACTACACTATGTTATGGAGGAGGTTTCCTACAATTTGATTGGACAAAATTTCAAATGTTAAAATCAATGAGTAGAATGCTAACGGATAGATGAACAGAATAACGTAGTTAGTTATATGACAACCAAGTGATGGTTATGCACGAGATTGTATTATTGACCTTAAATGATTGAAAACCAAAGACAAAATCACTAGCCAGATGAAAAGTTTTCCATATGATAACATAACATGCTTACATACAAAATATGTACAAAAAATAAGCACTGAACAATGTTATAAGCGATTGGAGAAAATTAGCTTGTAGAGAGAATAGGAAGCGTGAAGTGACATTTGTGGATCGCTAGTTTGGAAGGTAACATGGAACACACTAAAACATTGATCTACTTAAAATATTTGAGATGAATATTATCCGTTAAATACCAACTGTAAAACAATTCATCTCTATACATTAAATTTATGGATGAAATCAAAAATCTAAATTGACTGAAACGGCTGGTTGGTTAGGTAGGATAATGTGTTACGGTATATATATCTAAAACCACTGCCTATCTCGACTTTTGATGATGTCAGAGGGGGGGGGGTAAGAACCAGCGGCTGGATGATTTAGATATGGCATTAATTCATGAAGACATTAACTGGCTGTTGGTCTGAGACATTTTAATACACGTAGATATCATCATAAGTGAATTAAGTTATTATACTTGTTAAAACAACTGGAGATGAATCTACAGCTGGGATAAAGCCAGCATTATTTGCTTGTCAACCACTACCACTCATCCTTGAAATGAAAGTGAATATTGTGCACTGAATATACAACTATTTTTAAAGACTTGTTTTAGTAGCGGTTAACTTTTAGGAAGGAAATGTCTATGAAACACATAAAACTGAATAAGTACATCCTAGACAACTGAAGAATCGACCAAAAAAATACACTCTATGTGTATACATATGGAATAATAAAATATTGTGATAATTTTTAAAAATGTACGGGACAAGTAAGTGATATTTTTCATGCTCCCTCACAACAGAAGTAAAGTGTTGGAAAAGGTCAACCCTAAAAATGTCACACCTTACGGATTTCGGTTTCCAGTGGCAGGCTTTATGAAGAGCGAAGATAAAACGTTACAAACTTCCTATAAACAGGCCATACGCGACCAGCCTGAAGCAGTTGTCCCTTCGACTCAGCGGTCACGCTCCCAGGTCACTTAGACCAACACTAACTCATATTTTTTTCAGGTCCCTCAAGAAACACCCCCCCACGGTGTGGGAGACTAGACAGTGACGTCTGTCAGCATATAATGGCAACTGTCTGCTGTAGCTATGCTTAGATAACCGCCTATTTCTGGCAAATACCAACCTTAAACATAAGGAACAACTTTTGACACAGAAACCGCCCAAAATCGACCCAACGCCGGACCCAAGTAGAGCAGTAAGAAGTGAGAATATTCGTAGGTTACTGGTATTCGAGCATGGGTGTCTTGGAAGCATTGCTCGTATACCCTGAGAGCATCAGGTAAGTAATGGGGATGGAAGTTTGAAGATAAAGTGTACATAATCTGTTAGTAAACGGTCTTTTATAAATATACTACTATCTCATTTGATCTTGATGTCTTCATTTGTTACACTAGAAATTCAATGATGAATTAGCCACAAAAAATAGATCCAATTGTGAAATGATGTTAATTATTCATAAGTTAATTTATTTGGTTTCATTACTACAATTCTAAGTGAATTTGTAATAAACAGTAATCATTCGAATCACAAAAACAATAGAAATTGTTTAAAAGGTTGAAGATGCATACACATACTACTTACAGTTTGGACGACGGATAATTTTTAATCCGGGCATACGACTCATCCATATACGACCAACTGAACTATGATCAACAATACTACTGATATCGGAATGATTGTGACAACTCATACTATCAAAATCAATATCATTTTGTTCACCAACATTTCCAAAAGATATACCAGTACTGACATTATTATTGTTATCATTTATACTATTCCCATTATCATCACGGTTATTTTCGTTGTCTGTTCCACTTTCATCATCATTATAACGTTCCGATTCATCTTCATCATCGTCATCAACATCATCTAGTCCATATTGATTTGGTTTAGGTGCTAAATTTTTCAGTAAGTGTAATTCTTGACGATATAACGTAGACATTATAGAGGTGTCAGTAGGATATTCATCATAGACATCTTCAGGAGGAGTAGTAGCAGAAGCAGCATTATTAGTGTGATTACTATGCACTGAACTAGTAGCATTATACATGGAGGAAGTGACTAATAGAACACAAGCTCCAAGTGTAGATAAATATCGAGCTAAATTTAATGATAATATTGCACCTAAATGATTAGATCCATTTGATATGATTAGAATACGAGCTGGAGGTTTGTGAATAATTCTGTAATAAAATGGAAACAAATTCATTGATAAAAATTTAGACATTCTCTTGTTGCATAATATCATTAAATAATATGACTTCTAAAATAGTAAATTAACATGATATTCTGATGATTATAAAAAATATCATTCATGATTTATTTAAGTTATTTTATTTAGTTTTAATTAAATGTTTGAATAGAATAATCATTTTAGATTTGACAAGTGAAAAGATAACTGTTCATTCCTTATTGAATTTAAACAATTGATTGACGTGTACATATGATGCTTCAAATCATCTATTAATCTATTTATATACACAATTATCTTGCTTTGTATGATATGTAGGTCATTATAAATGTATAGATTAAGAAGCTTGTTAATATTTGATCATAAGTATTGTTAAGCGAAAAATGGACAAAATAAGTTTATACTGATAGATATACACTGTGCTACTAGTACAAATTGATTCGTATTACTGTTAGGTAGGTTAGATCCCCAGAACTCACTTGATAAAAGTCCTAATTTTGGATTTTATGTTTCCGAGCACGGGCTGATTCCTTGACCTTGAGATTACATTTCCCACCCGGAAAATCCTTTGTTGATATATCATTTCAGTACGCTATTTTTGTGGCTCTCCTAAGGAAGTTTCTATGATGTATAAATAAACTCAGCTTGTGTGTTTGTGAAACTCAACCTCGTTTTTCTGGGTGCTTGTAGAATACGCTTTCTACGTCTTGTCAAGACTTCTTCCTCTACTTAGTGGGGCCTTGGGATGCTCGGATTAGAGTAGCCTATCGTGTCACTGGATCATTTGTCTTCACTTTCGTTTACCGACTGAGGTGAACCCGTAATAGTTTCAAGCATAACAATTACACAACTTTAACATGTATCTTTAAACGAGTTAAGTCTATGCATATGAACTCGTTGTCTATTTTATTTGTTTCGATAATTAATTTTATGACCACATTCAGTAAATTTTGTGTGTTTACAAAGCAGTCTCAATCCGATTTATTTACTTTTTTGTATTGATATGAATGATTAACATCTGCACAGAATCTGTGAGCATTTTTCAAAACATTTTCAGTTTATCACTAAAGTGTACAAGTGAAATGTGATATCAGAATGAATACTGAAAGAATGGTAACTTCCTGGACTAGTTAGTAGATTATTATTATGCGTATTTTTACTGCATAATTTTTAAAAAAAACTAGACTGCCATGTACATATATCCCATTTATTATAAGCTTTGCTTGATTTATTAAACCTATTTTAATTTTAGTTTATTTATAATTGCTGTTCTTTATATTATGGTGTTGCGCTTGTATATACACTACAGAACCCTTGGATTAAATGGATAGACTAATCAAATATTCATTCTTCGTCAGGTTCTAGAATATAGGGAAACTTACTGACACACGGATATAATTACATTTTTTAATCATAAGGTAGTATTCGACTCCACTAACCAAACGGTTTTGTGACAGGGCTTACGATTGAAGTATATGCCAATTAAGTACATCAATCTTGTGCAACTTTGAATCAAGTTTTATGTTCACTGACATATAGTGCTTTGAATGACAGTTTTCAACTAACACTAATAAATATTAGTTACCTTGGTGCTTGAAAATTATTGGAACAAAATTTAACACGTATCAAGTTTCTTGTACTGACCTAGAATTCTAGTCTACCTCTAGATATAACAGTTATTTGTCATATATGATATAAAAGAATTAATAAATATAGTAATGGATTATAGTCAGGATGGTTTTGCGACTGAAACATTTGACTTCCAACTGTTATATTACAGGTTCGAACTTTGTCTCCACTAACTATCAAGCTAGATAGTAACAAATAAATTTTAAGGAACGTATGTACCTCAAAATAAAATAATAAAAACTTAATTATTAATTAACAATAAATTGTTATTAATATAAATTAGGCAGAAAAAAGAAGCACAATAATTAATTCTTACCGTTGAGGTGTCCTATTTGACTGACGTAAATGCATCATAATATTATCAACTAGGGGACGAGTGGCAGACTCAATAAGTCGACCCCATGTAAGACCTTGAAATTTACTTCTTGCAGTTGTTGTGCTTACAGCATTATTTGACATTAACAAGTTATTTTTGATTTGATTATCTAAATCTAATCCTGTAGCTAGATAATGAAGTAAACGTTGACGCTGTTCTAATTGACATATTGGTACACGTTGTCCTGTACATGTATACCACCATTGATTATTACGTTTCATAGAATTTATATGACATAATTTATTGACATTACCATTGAGATCATTTTCTTGTATAGCTTTATCTTTTGAATGAACTATGCCTGCTTCTGCTGCTACTACAATTGGACTAGTAGGATCATAATCAATGGATTTATTACTGGAAGTAGTTGTTTGTGCATTTTTCATTTTATTTTTATCTTCATGATGACAACCAGCGGCTGTAATTGTCATTGTTGTTTTAGTTGCAGCTGTCATTGTTGTTGTTCTTGTTAAATTGGAAGGTTGAGAAGTTGGAGTAGCTAAGAATAAGTAAAACAATCAATATGGAATGACAAATACAATCAACATAACACAACACAATTTCATTGTTTCGCCAGTTAAGTAATTTCGTCAAATAAACAGTGATTAAATTAAAATTTATTAAACTATATACATTTACTGAATAAGAAATTATCAAACTGACTTGTCTATATATAGATTGATTAATTCACGTAATTTATTTAACAAGTACAGGTTTATGTACTTGGTTACTTAAACTGAACTAGGATGAGGAGGAGGGGACAAATAGAGTTTGAATGTGATCTAACAGTTGAAAATTAAATGTTGATTAGTAAACTGCTATTGCATCGATCTGTAGTGTTAAAATGTTTAGATATGAGGTGTATTTAATGATGATTAACAGAATAATATGTATTTATTTTTCCAATCTAACAAACTATTCCATTGAATTATGTAACACTAAGTGTATATAAAATATACTACAAAACCGATGAATCACTTACTGAATAGTGGGATCCCAACACCATCTGGACCTTCAATGAAATGTGGTAAAGAAGAAGAAACAGAAGAATTGTTCATTTCAGAAGTATGTGTTATTGAATGACCTTCGCGTAAATCGACCATTTCATAGAATGCACTCTTATTGAACAAGGCTAAGTTTCCTTCAAAATCAAAATCTTCATCGATAAATTCTTCAACACAGATTCGATCCCAATCTGCTAGATTCCTTTGACCGCCACTACCAGCCCCACTTCCATTTAGTCCAGTGTTTCCCCCACTCCGGTGATTGTGATTATTATTACTACGTGGGTGACTGCGATTTTGAGCATGTCGATTAGTATTGCCACCGCCACCACAGTTGAATTGACCTTTCGATCCTGAATTTGTGTAACGATGGAATGAATCACTTTCGCCGCCAGATATATCACTTGTACCAGCTGCTTCTGACACTGTATTGAGTTAGTCAACGATAATAAAGTAATGATATCTTATACATATATATTGGGCTATATATTAAATTATAGTTACAACACTATTCTAAATATACTTTTAAATACTACTTCTTATGTTGAACTATTTACTAGAGGTTTTCTTATTTTGTTATTCTTACCACTACTAGTAAACCTGACTTTCTGCTATCAACTTGTACTTTTACATACTATGTGTAGTTAAGTGATTTATTTGATTGTGATCACTGACTAAATTTCCATGATTGGTTTAAAATTTTCATACAAAATTCATGTATATTAGAGTAAAGCCTGATGACGATCTAATTGAATACAATATTGTTCGCTTATATTTGTTGTTCTAATTTTCACAATGAGAACCTTAAATGTTAGATAAGTGTATGCATTGAAATATTAGTCTATAACGCATAGTACTTTTACAGTTATTCTATACTGCTTGATAACTCAGACGAAAGAACTGTGACTAGGTTTCGTTAGAGACAACAGTTTTTGAATGGAAGAATGATACACGGTAAAGATACGACTATAGACTAATAAGTGTACCGCTACTAACGGACTTAGCCGGGTAAACAGATGAATACAACCTGGATGGGTGACCTGGGTTAGAATAGTTTGCAATGACGGTAGTGCATTGATTATTTATCTTCTTTTAAATCCTAGATCTTTAAATGTTTCATAATTTTCTCCCTGGTTTACATTTTTTTCTTGAGGTGCTTTTAACATCGAATATTTCCTATTACTACGAACACTACTATTACTTTTCCACAGGAATTTTTCATAAAAACTAATGGGATGTGACAACTTGAACCGAAGTACACATGTGTCAGGTTATACGTTGAGTATGACTAAGTGACTGGTACTGTTACTTAGTTACAGAGCTAATACAAGAAGTATGATTAAATGAGAAAACTTTCGAGAGTCGGAACTAGAGGGGTTGAAGAATCCAGAAGATTAGCATTTGAGAGAACACAAAGAATAAATGCACTGGCGCCATTGCGAACGATTTTGAGCCATGTCATTCAAGGTCTCTAACCATCGATTATTATCATCTCGCGGACCCCAACCAGGTAGTCGACAATTACCGACATGGCTCAATCCACTAGTCAATGACTTCATGGATTTCCGCCATGTTTTGGTTTGGCCTCCCCTAGCTTTCTTCCAACCTACTCCTACACTACAAAACAAGGCTCGACGAGGCAGTCGGTGGTTGGGCATACGCAACACATGTCCCAACCCCTCAACTGGTGAAGTTTCAATACTTCATCGATTGATCTGCCATTCTTACCTAGCACCCGATTCCTAATAACAGCGTTGCTCACTGTTAGTGGGACATAGATGGATTTAAAGCATGATTACGTCACTACGCGCTGATTGGCTAATTTCCTGTCCAATCAGCGCCTGATCGAAGCTTGGAGAACAGGATAGAAAATTCTCGTATTATTAGCTGCATGCTGATTGGTCAAATTCAGCCCAGTCGATCACGTGAATTTTCTTCCAGAAGTTTTCTCATCTAAAGGCTATAAATCGACTCGCATTGTATTTATCTAGGCCTTCTAGCCTTCTAGCCTTCTTCGCTTTCAAGCCTTTTTGCCTTGGCTTTCGCCATCACCTCCAGCTTCTCTTCCTTGCTATTTTGGAATACAATCCTTCCTGTTCAACCGTGTTCTGATTTGTGTTACTTGTCCAGTGTTTTGTGTCAAGAATACTAAGCAATAAGATTTAGCCGGAAATATCGTTAACTAATCGTTACAACAGTGGCGACGGAGAAAAAGGAAAAAAATTTCAAGATGCCTATTTCAGATGATCAGCTTAACCGAATACTACAACAACAGCAAGCACAATTAGATGCACAAATGCGGTTGTTGGAGACCCTAACTCAACAGCTCAACATCCAGTGTTCGAGTCCACATACTATTTCAAATACGTCTTGTGAAGCAGTGGCTAACAGCATACCGGAATTCGTCTATAATCCTGAATGTGGAAATACTTTTCTGACGTGGTTCAAACGTTGGGAAGATACATTTAGAATTGAATTCGGTAAACAAGATGATGCATGGAAGACTCGGTTGTTGCTGCGTAAGTTGGGAAGCAATGAGTATGAACGTTACGCTGACCACGTATTACCGAAGTTACCTCGAGAGCTCAGTTTCGAGGAGACAGTAACTCAGCTGTCAGATATTTACGGCGAATCATCATCATTGTTTAGTATTAGATATCATTGTCTAAATCTGGTGAAACACGAAGATGATGAATATGCGGTCCTTGCAGACGTCGTCAACAGAGAATGTGAACGGTTCAAGTTACGCTCGTTGACGGAAGACCAATTTAAATGCTTAATATTCATCAAAGCTCTTCAGTCACCGCAAGATGCTGAAACCAGAACTAGACTTTTGATTCGAATGGACCAAGACCCTAACGTCACACTCAGAACATTGACAGATGAGTGTAAACGCCTACAAAGTATCAGGCACGACAACATGTTGATTGAACAGGTAAATCACAATTTAACCAGCAGTAGTGTCAATGCTATTACTAGGTTAAAAGTCCAGAAGCCGATAGCATCTCGTAACAAACCAACGACGGCATGTTGGTTATGTGGTGATGGGCACTACGTACGATTTTGTCCATTTAAAAAACATAAATGTCAGATGTGCCATAAACGTGGACATAAAGAAGGCCATTGCCAACCAAATCGTACGTCTCAGCCGAAGAAGAAGCGCAAACGTACTCGACATGTGGTGAAATCAGCCGAGTCTAAATCACTTTCTCTCGTAGCTGCTTTTCAAACAGAATATGACGTTCGGAGAAAGTATGTTACTATCCAGATGAACGGTGCATCAGCTCGTTTCCAAATCGACACGGCATCAGATATCACCCTAATGTCTAGAGAAACGTACAACTCGCTGGGAAAACCGCCAATGAAGCCATCTAAGAAAACAGTTAAAAGCGCTTCAGGTGGTGTGTTAAAACTGGTTGGTGAGTTCCAGTGTGAATTTTCCTTCAACGGAACAAAGTGTAGAGGAATATGCTATCTGACAGAACGGCCAAACCTTGATCTTCTTGGTCTAGATATGCTAGAAAAGCTGGGAATAATGGATTTACCCATTAACAGTGTCTGCAGCGTATCGTGTTCATCATTGGACACCCCGATACTTAAAAAGAAGACAGGTGAAAGGTTACAAGATAAACGAAAGAGGAAGTCAGCCTCTGTTTCTCAGAATAGCCTTGGCCGCGGTACGAATCTGAAAGCTAACCTACCAGCGAAAGCAGATGCCAAACCTACTTCACGTCCGAGACGCCCTATACCATATGCTGTTCATGAGCCTCAACAAAACTTATCGGTGGGGAAGCAGCCCGATCGACGGTTGTTTAAAGATATGGTTCCTACAAAGCAGGCGGCTCGTAAGTGTACGGGTGGCAAGGCACCCAGGAAGCAGTTGGACTCTAGCACCAGATCCTACGAATCTTCTCAAAGGGGAGGTGTTAGTGGGACATAGATGGATTTAAAGCATGATTACGTCACTACGCGCTGATTGGCTAATTTCCTGTCCAATCAGCGCCTGATCGAAGCTTGGAGAACAGGATAGAAAATTCTCGTATTATTAGCTGCATGCTGATTGGTCAAATTCAGCCCAGTCGATCACGTGAATTTTCTTCCAGAAGTTTTCTCATCTAAAGGCTATAAATCGACTCGCATTGTATTTATCTAGGCCTTCTAGCCTTCTAGCCTTCTTCGCTTTCAAGCCTTTTTGCCTTGGCTTTCGCCATCACCTCCAGCTTCTCTTCCTTGCTATTTTGGAATACAATCCTTCCTGTTCAACCGTGTTCTGATTTGTGTTACTTGTCCAGTGTTTTGTGTCAAGAATACTAAGCAATAAGATTTAGCCGGAAATATCGTTAACTAACCGTTACAACACTCACTCGGGTGTCCCACGATATGCGAGCAATGCTTCGAAGACACCTATGATCGAAAACCAATAACCGACGAATATCTTCCACTCTCACTGGCCATGTTTCACAGCCATAAAGTAAGACGGAGCGAACCACTGCGCAGTACACTCGTCCTTTAGTCAGCAAACGGATATCTCGCCTACGCCATAAGTGACGCAGGTTGGCAAAAGCCAATCGAGCCTTCTGTATCCGTGTTGAGATTTCGTCACAAACCAGGCCATCGGCACTGATGAGACTCCCGACCGAAGCTGCTACCTTGACGTGGTGGTCGGGCTTGCCTATCATGATGACCCAACCGAGCTATACTGGCTGGAACATATGTTCCTGCAGGTCCTACCATGCCAGGCTGGTCGATTGGAGAACGATGAGACTAAAAGCAGCTACCCAAGGTCTGAGGGCGAAGTCGTACTGCTGACTGCAGAGGGGTGTGACAGCAGTAAGGTGTTTCCCTCGGACAACCAGCATCTGCAGCGATGCTGCCTTCTCACAAGGAAGGAAGGGTTAGAAAAGGTCGGCCCTAAAAATGTCACACCTCCCCTAACTCACGGATTTCCGTCTCCCTGGGTAAGGGCCTTTAAGAACGGAGCTAATCCTCAAAAAACGTTTCATAAAAAGGCCGTGCGTGACCGGCCTCAAGCAGTTGTCCCTTGGGCTCTGCGGTCACGCACCAACACTAATCCATCTTCCTTTTCAGGTCCCTCAAGAAACAACCTTCCACGGTGTGGGCAGCCGGGAAGTGACAACCGCCCTCATACCCGCAACAGCACGCGAGACCAAATTGGTCAAAATCAAATCCTTCCTACACCGATTGAGTACATAGCGTTTAAAACATTATCAGTAAGGTTCAAATATATAGTGAAGTCATCAACGGTTAGGTTAAATGACGGCTGCTCTAACGTGTTTGAAAATGTGGGTCACTAGATTCCAACTCAGAGACCAAAGGGTAGTTTAGCAGTCACGCTCTCTTAATGAGGGGTACTGTTAAGGAGTTCTAAATTACGACATAAGATTTAACTGGTTTTTTCATTGGGTTTTTTAACTAATCTGAGTTCACCATAGGAACTCTCATTACACCGAATTAAATGATAAAAAAATACTCAGATGACCAGAGTTTGATAATGAGGTGAATCCTTGGAAAAGTGCCGGATATTTGAAAAATTGTACTAACTATGACAAAGCAGAAAACAAGCAATATTAAAAACTTTACTTACATGAATAACTGCGACGTTTGGCATGACGGTGATTATTAACACCATACTTACGAGCTGGACTAAAGTCATTAGGTTCGCGAATGGAAGCCTTTGCCAGAGCGTTATCTAACTGCTGTAAATCATTTGAGTGTCCAAGGCCGTTATGAAAATCATGAATGTTGCTACCAGATCCTGGTGCCCCAGTCGTTTTATGAATGATAGGTGGTGAGTCAGGACATACATAAACACTGCAAGCGTTAGGGATGTTTCTTAGCCACTCTCGACGCTGTTCTCGTGAAGAATTAGAGGACTTATTTGGCCCTTTAACCGGTGTATCACTACCTGACGATTCACCATTACTTGCAGTTGAAAGAATCCGGATATTCTGGATGAATTTACTCCTGTCAAACCAAAAGAGAAACTGTTTTTGACACCAGGTAACGAGATAAATACATTTTGTATTAAAAATATAAAACTTTAAAAATGGAAACAGACATTGAGTTGTGTACGATCTGAAGATTAGGAAGTATTTGGTTATGAATTAAATTAAAGTGATGAGTATCCATTTTAAGGCTATAAAATTGCATCTATTAGGAGATACATGGACATAACATCATATAAACTAGAGAATGACTTAAACGTACGAGCTTGCAAACATCACATTTGAAAAAGAAGTATTTTTCACGGATTATACATTGCAATTTTATGCACCTTTACGCGCCAACCGATGGGCAGATACAAGCTGACAGCAAGTTTATATGAACTGGCAACCTTAGATGGTGTTTATCAGAGTTGTCCATAATTGTTTTTTGTCAAAGATATAATCTTAGAAATAACCGGTTTTTCATTTGACGTTTTATGAAAACTTACTCATTGACCTGGAGCACTCAAATGATGAAGTCCTCTTCAGTAAAGACGATCATGAAATTTAGTTTTTAGAAACTTTATCTACTTGTCTTATAGACACAAACATTGGTACAAAAGGATACCTAACTATTTGTGCCATGCAAATATTTGAATTTCTGTGTAAGCGAGGATACTTTTTGGGTGTTTAAATGGAAGCGAATGATTTCACTAAGTGGCCACTCTTAGAGCTGTTGAGCTGGATGTCTAATGCACAGGGCAGTGAAGCGACGTTAGGGTGTGGTTTCGTGGTAGCCGGTGACCAAGTATACCTTTACGAGTCATATATTTACTCAGGGTCATGAAACCCGTGTACAATCGTGATTTTGAATCAGGGGTTTCCAACCCCCTGAGTAGAGCCTCCTATCCCACCGACCAAGTTTAAGAACTAGACATTCTCTTTGTATCTTTTCGATTTCATGAACAACAAGGATACCGCTTCAGGACCGGTCTATGAGATGGATTTAGAAAGCTAACTTGGTTTTAGAAACTTGTGGCGACGAGTATACCATGCAGAAAGTTGCTCCGTATTACTTTACAGTTGTGAAACGATCAAGATAGTAGGCGTACACAGAATAGTAACATTTCTGTTTATATGATGAGTGGAGAAACAACTTATGATGGCTAATATCGTGTATTAACTTGAAAATCCTGATCATCGGCAAGTGTTGATTTTCGTGGAGGATTAGTTAACCAACATGTGCAATTGTTTTTACGATTATGAGTGGTAAAGTCACTTCCAGCAAACTGTCTTTTAGGCGACATAGCTAGTTTAGTTAGCAGTGACATAAAATTTCTATCAACGACACTTTGAACACCAACAGACCATACACAACTGGAAGGTAATGCAAACAGATATTTTTTATATAAAGACGTAAACATGTATGGTTCCGGAATGAAATGATAGTGGAACTTACTCGACAGCAAACGAAGGGATTGTGGGGGGATAATTGTTAATCACTGCATTTATAAGGCTAATTTTCTTATCGGTAACATTTGAAACAACACCAACGATCTTCCCAAGTTCGGACGACGTTAACTCAACTTTAAATCCAGTATACTGACTAGTCATTTAAGAACACTTAAACCAGCAGTACGTTCCGCCACTGAACTTCAGCTTTTAAAACACCAACAATATTGTTCAATATCCAATATATTTTTCACGAGCTAGTGTAAAACAATTTGATTTCTTCGCACTCGATTCTTGTTCTTTCAGTACGGTTCCAGGTGTTCGGTAATGTCCAATGGATGGAGGTCTAGCCACTCAACTGTCTAATTCTAGTCAGTCACAGTTGGTTATGTCTCGGAATTTGAATGAAACGTTTGTTTTAGGGCAGTAGGGTTTCTGGATACTAGCAGCCGTCACATTACCAAACCGGAGATCAGTTAGTTGCAATGTGAAGAGTAATAAGGGAAATAAGGATAAGATTATAATGATAATATGGATAAAATTTCAGAACTGAGTAATATATAGATGAATTTGGTTTGTTAATCGGTAGTAAAGATTGTGAGAGAGAATCGAAGTGTAAGCAAGGGAGAGGAAACAGAGATAATAGGCGAGATAGATTAATTGAGTGATCTGAGGAGATGGCGATGGTAACAACTAGCAGGTCTCAAGATATGCATCATGAACAGCTTGTCCAAGAGGGAGATGATAGTCCGTATGTGAGTACGTGATTATCAAGTCTCTTCTTAAAGAAGTCCACTGAGGGGGCTGTGGTTACCTCGGCTGGGAGAACATTCCAAGTTGCGACGACTCGCAATGAGAAAACATGTGCACGAGTCTGAGTATTCGCTCTTTGATGTGCAATCTTTCGAGGATTGCCTCGAGGAGAGTGGTGGTGATGCATCGGTAAGATGCTCAAATTATGATGGTTTGGCGTGTTTAATATGGTGAAGTCTATCGTCTTAGGGTTTATTTTTCAACTCTACCACCCATTCGGTTGCTCGTCTCTGCACTCGATTTAATCAGAGGGGGTGCGATGAAGTTTTGAACCTCCAAGTGTGGGCGCGCGTACGTCTTAAACAGGGTTAAAAATAATTTCGGGGTGATAGCACCAAGTTGTCTTCGCATAAAGTGAAGAGTCGCATTTGCCTTGGCTGCATCGCCTACATAGTTTGGACTGGTGTGGAGGCTTTCTGTGGTCATTAAACCGTGGTCGCACTCTGAGGAGACGTTAGGGAGCGGATTTCCATTGAGGGTGTAGATCGTTTGCGTCATATGAGGCAGGAAATGCATGACGTGGCACTTCAGTTGGTTGAGTTTTAAACTGTTTTTCACAGCTTATTTCTCAATAGACAAAAGGTCATTTTGAAACTCAGTCGAATCCTCTTTGTTTGCAATGTAATTCCAGATCTTCGCATCGTGTGCGTAGATCAATGCCGGTGAGCTAACTGAGCCTAGCAGGTCGTTAATACATATCAGGAAGAGGAGTGGGCCTAGGATGGTCCCTTGTCAAACTCCCGATGTGGATACTCGACAACTCGTGTGCACTCGGTTTACCTTGGAGCGAAACTTCTATTCTCAAGGTAGTTTCTGAGCCAAGATAGGAGTGGGTCAGTGAAGCCCATTTCCACAACCTTTTCGATTAGGGGCACTGTGTCAAAGGCCTTTGCAAAGTCGAGGAACATTACGTGTACCGGTATTTTACGGTCTAAACAGGATGTCCAACTGTCCCATACGATGAGGAGATTAGATGCACACGACCTGCCTTTTCGAAACCCGTGTTGAGCATCATGGAGTATTTTATTCTTTTCCATGTACTCCCTCATTTGTTCGTCCATTGGCCCTTCCATAACTTTTGATAATATTGGTAGCAGTGCGACTGGTCTGTAACAGGCTGGGTCCTTTCTATCCCCTCCTTTGAAGATTGGAGAGAGAATAGCTTGTTTCCATTCAGCTGGGAATTGGTGAGACTCCAGTGAATGCCTGAACAGGTTGCATAACGGTGAACAAAGGACTTCAGCACACTGTCGCAAGACTATAGGGCGGATTTTGTCACAACCTAGTGACTAACCTGGCCGTAAGGATTTTAGTTTCCTTAATACTAGGTCAGGATTGATACGGATGTTCCCGTGGCCATGGGGCATGTAGGAGCACCTCTCTCATGCGAGTGTAATTTGCCCTATTGTAGCAAAGATGGAGCTCGTTCTTGTCCTGTGTGAGTGTTGTTGACACCTGACAACCTCCACTAAGCATATAACTGTCTATTTTATATACTTTTGTGATTTATTCTCTACAATGAGTGTAATATTGTAATTAATATTGTCATAAAGCTAAATTATGAATGTTGGATATGTGAAACAGATGGTTGAAGATTATATTTTACTGTAATCATTTATCGTTAGGGAATTGTGTTGCACACTCTACAGAGTGCAAACATTTATGAGCCGAAGAATCGAATGGATCATTTCAGCTGTATCTTTTTGATACGGTCTTGACATTTGTGCAGTTACATCTCGAAGAATCAGCAGAACAAAAACTTTATTAGCCGTGATAATTGATATAACTTGAGATGAGTCGCATGGCAGTATTCTTTAATTTCCATACTGTCTTCCGAAACGATATATCTGTACTAGCTAGATTACAAGGATACCGATAGTGTTGCAGATTCATTTTTATTACACAGCTACGTGATTTGTCTCGAGTTCGAATCAAGCATAATGACGCACACAGCATGTCACTAATAGTTCATGTTTAGTCTTCTGGTCACTATACTCTTAACATAGTAAATTGTGACACTCAATATACATACGTCTTATATTCATGCTTCCATGAGTCTACATTTGTACATTTTGTTTTTTTCTTCATCTACACATTTATTTTATTTATTTAGTGCCTATCTCCTTATTACAGCATCTATTATCTATCTTCATATAAATCAATGCTTTTGATGAGTCCTGTTCTGAGTAGTCACAACTGACTTCTCTGGTATCATATCTCATACTTAACGCCAATACAGGATATAATATCGTCACTAGAACACGATCAAGTCGTAAACTGAAAGACAGAATAATAAGTGATAAGTATTTACCGGAGTAAATATCATGACTTGCAAGAAAAACGTGTGTATTTATAATTTTGGTAAAAGCTATGAAAATGATCATAACCATCCGACCTGCACATAGGAATGCTGCACAATCTCTTAGTTGGCTGAAACAACATCGGTATCATAAAGCTTACATTTAGCCGTGACTAGGTTGGATCTCTTAGGCATTTTTAGAGCATTATTCAGAATCCTAATAGACTTCTGGTAGCCGTCTCAACATTCAGTCCTCGTCTCTTCAGCAATTCGCCCAAACTAAAGCATGGAATGTAAACATTAGGGACACATTTATATTAATGGTGCTATTAATGGGTTTGTCCCAAGGTTAGTAGGATTTACATATGGTTATACAATGGAGTAAGGGTTAATCTTGTGTGTTTTTGATGTGTGCAAGTGAAATCAAAATGTGACTGATCATCGAGCGTGGATGGATAGAAACAGCCTAATGCCTATTAAATACATGATTTCATCTCACCTTATTGATTTGTGCTCCAAACCACTCAGTTTGGCAACTGTATGATGTACTTTTCGAATATCCGAATCAGTGGCGATCTACATTCGATCACTATTTTGGTTGCAATACAGTGGATGTAAAGGCATAAAATACTTCCATTAAATTAGTCTTAAAAGCAATCCAAGACGTTTAAGAGTTGTAGTGGAACACTTGTACGAAGAAAACGCAATTGGCGAAAAACGAACACTTATTATTGTACTCGATTTGTCTAACTGGACCAAAAACACTTACTTGCGCGCAACGTTCCTTTTCACGTTGTTACCATCTGTCATAAACTGATGTTCGATGTAACGCCTACTTTCTCCTACAAATAAATATTCAACCCTGGATTTATTTCTATAATTTTGACGGGATATGGAACATTTAGTGGTGATCATAGTCAATCTGAACGCAGTCACCCTTAAAATTGGTGAGCTGACGTTTTTGCTTAAAGAAGTCAATTACGGTGAGTCTATTATTCATCTATCACCATTGTTATACTATTAATGTCTTTTAATATATATTATATTTGCAACAAGGCTTTGAAATGGTGTATAGCTATAATAATAGACTCCGAGGTGCAGGTCATTGCATTTTCACCTGTCTCCTCTCTGTCACTTCAGGTTGTTAGTTTATTTAACGTGCTCGATTTTTGCACTAGTTCTAGGTACTTGGTGGCCACAGGTGCCCAAGTTTCTGTCATGTCGTTTGGTAGCAGCAAGTCACAAGCTACGATGCTTCGAAAACGCGCTGCGAATGGCTCTGTCATTCCTTCCTACGGTACATGACATCTAACGATCAACCTGAATAATCGACGACAGTATCTATTGACGTTCATACTTGCTGATGTTCTCATAGCCGTACTCGGTGTCGATTCCCTACAGCTCTATCAATTGCTATTCGATTCACGTAGGCTGCAGTTAATCAAATCCAAGTGTTTCAAGGCTCGAACAGATGTGCATGAATATTTTGCATCATTATTTATTTCATGTTATATTTGATAAAGTCCTCAAAGCTACTAAACCGAGGAGATTCTATAGTTGATTAATTATGTGTTTAGCCACATCACCACCTGCAGACTCCCAGTCACGGCAAAACCTCGCCGACTGTCACTGGACAAATTATTTTTCGCTAAGCGTGAGTTTGACAGTTTACTTGCTATACGTATTACTTCGTCTTTCTCACAGTCCTTAAGACTCCTCTCTCCACTCGGTTAGCAGAAAGATGGCATTAGTTGGAGACGACAGGGCGGTTACAGAGCAGCAACAGCAGATATCCAAAGTTCCGCCTCCGAACTTGTGTACGGCATGACATTGCATCTGCATAGGGAATTTTTTCATACCACGGAGCAGCGATTTTATGTGTCGCAGATAAAGTCCAACGACTATCTGCGTAGATGAGAATACTGCCTCCGGTGTGAACTCGAATATAACATCGACAGGTCGCTCTCTCTCCAGAGTTATTAACCTGCCCGCATGTTTCCTTACGAGTAGATTCGGTACTCAACAACCTTACGAAGGATCTTTCCACGTGATCCCTCGTGGACACATCATTGATCGTTTCAAACCAGCACACGTCTGTGACAATGCCCTACC